CGAACTATATTTTTCTGAATCAGCATTGGAAACTGATTTAGAAAAATATAGTTCGAACCTTCCATCTTGCAATACAAGCTCAAAAAATCAATTTTATCATAGAGGACGGTTTTTTATACTTTTGAGGTCCTCTCAGTAATTTGAGTTTTTCTCCATGAAGAAATGGCTTTTGGAGGCTGGGAAGGTGATATTCGTGATCAGCTCCATGCGCTGAACAAGAATATGTATGATAAAGTCAAAACAAAATTTCACTGTAAGTTTGCATTACGTGCATCTTATCAAGTTAGCGATACAACACGTATTCAGCCATCAGGCAAACGAAAAGTAAAAGTGCCTCTCAAGGAAGTTAGCACAGCTTTAAATTTGTAAATACATATAAATAAAACTGTGAAAATATTGTTCCTTGGCTACTATTTCAATGAATATGTAACATGTTAGAAAATTTGGTGATCAAAAGTATCTTTTTTTGGTGATCAAAAAGATTGATACCCAATTTGTTTTTAGGTCTCACATCGATAATTGGTATCTACGTTGGCGGTCGATTTCTCACTCAGTGTGAGTATGATTATTGGAATGAAACACAGGAGATTCAACAAGATTCCTCCAAAAATTTGTTCGATATAATGTAAGTTAATAATCATCATTACTCTCTTTTTATGGAAAATTCAATATCTGAATGAGTTTCGTAGCACTAATCCACGATTTCCGTGTCCCTGTACGTACAATCAAGCTCTTAACGATGATCGTTTTACACTCTTATCCAACGAAAATCAATATGAACAATATAATAATATTCTTTGTTTTGGACCTCGAAATCAAATGCGTGTAAAAACGGGTAGAAAAACATACAAACTATTACAATCACAGGTACTTGTGTCAAATGAAATGAATTTCATAGTTCTGTAAACAATAAAGTTATATATCACTAGACTTGTTGCTACAATTGGAAAACTAGTACTATCATAATATCAGGTCCATTTTCTGGTTCAGTTTTGCGATATCCATCACTCATATATCAACTTAATGCCCATGATAGACGAATACCAGAACGGTAAAAGACCATCTCATTCTGAGACATCTATTCATAGGCTGATTCTAGTTTTACTGTTTTAGTGATGCATGTTGTGTACCAACCAATAATATTATTGATTGGAATACGTGTAAACTTTATTATCAGATACGTCCACCTAGTAGTTGTGACGGGTATCGACCACCCAGAATAGGTAAATATCATGTGAATAATAATCATAAAATTAATTTTAATCTTGCATGTTTTGTTTCAGTATGGTATGGTGGTGATCCACACATCTATACGATCGATGGAAGTCTGTATACATGCCATGTTGTTGGAAGATACATTTTTGCACGTACATCATCTGTGGCAAACAATACTGCACAATCGAATGACGAATTAGAGGAGTCGGATACTGATAATATTTACTTATATCCTGACGATTTGTTTACTATCTGGGTAGAAGCGGAAGCAGAACAGCCAGCATTGCCCTATGTGCAAACGCAAGGTTATGCATCCATTTTCACACGTTTCATTCTGAGTGCTGTTGGAGTAGAATTCCAAATATCGACTGCAAATGACAGTAGATTCAGTAAGTACCATTTTTTTGAAACCCAGAATTAGGCCTGTGACAGTTCGTGGTTCCCGTTCAACGGGAACGGTTTGCAGTTTCCGTTCTGAACTAGGAACGGTTCAGCAGTTCACGTTTCTAGAAACAAGGAACGATTCATCAGTTCCAGTTCCTTCGAACGGGTACTACAGTTCTTTTTAAACTGGAAACTGTATGATATATTTGAGCTTCTTTTTCTAATCTGCTAGCGTTCTATCTCCTTGAACATGTTAGTGCATTTTACGGTTCAATATGAATACGACGGTTTATTTGATGTCGTTCCTTTACGTGCTTGTTTCTGAGTAAACTTTCACAGAGATACTAACAATAAACCAACATTCATACTTTGTCTTTCAAAAACATAGACATTCTCGTTGTTGCTGAAGTTAGTGATAGTCAATTTAATGTAGATGGTCTATTGATCTTTCATGTCGATATTCTTTACTCTTTATTTTTCATTTTTATTTTCTGGTCTTTGCAACCAATGTTTATGACATATGCGTAAGAAAATGGGATAACAGAAAAGAAGAAAAAGAAAAGTACTGGACGTTCAAAGGCTTGAATACTAAGTAAAATAGTTAGAGACAGAAGAATATAAAAATGTTACACTGGTAGCAGACAAAAACTACCACATCACACCAGGAGCTGACCTTCTCCACCATGCGTTCTTGAACTTTAGCAGTAGATCAAGATCTTAAGAAGTAACGAACTACATTCAATCAGCGAAGTGTTCCATCTAATCTGGAAGTCTCTCTGAGCATAGCTCTTTTCAGTGCTCACTCTTTCAAAATCTTATGTTTGCGAAATGGAATACATAATATATCAACAAATCACTAAAGAACACTGAGTATAGCTTCCAGTTCAAAAAGAACTGTAGTTCCCGTCCTAAGGAGCTGGACCTGGTGAACCGTTCCTAGTTTCTAGAAATGTGAGCTGTCGAACCGTTCCTAGTTCAGAACGGAAACTGTAAAACTGTTTTCGTTCATTGAGCACGAACTGAAAAGCAGTTCGCGTTATCGAGAAACTGCAGTACAAGGAACTATGAACTGTCACAGGCCTACCCAGAATGTCTATAAAGAGATGTATTCCGAAATTTTCTAGTTCTGACTGTTTCAAACTATACAAACATTACTCTGCCTGCAAGTGATATTTCATATTCTTACACTGTTACTGATAGTGAAAGACCGTTTTCGATTGTTCAAAGAAATTACACGCAAATCTATGAAGGTACAAATATCACATTGCCAGAATTAACAATTTCATTATGGTCAGGTTAGTACATTTTTGGATTCGTCTTCTTTATATGACAACATTACGCCAATCTTAGGGCTAGCTCTGAAATGTATAACCGTTATACAAATTGTCACTTGTACATTATCACTACCAGATAAGTTCAAAAATTCGATAGAAGGTTTGGCTGGTAATTTTGATGACAATGCAACAAACGATTTAGTAAACAGAGTAACAAACGTAACAGTTTTTAATCTTGCAAATGATTCACAAGTATACGATGCATGCGTATCATGTAAGTTTTTAAATGTGTTATATTCTACCATCTCAAATGTGATGTTATGCAGTATATTATCTTATTATTTAGGGGCAACGATAAATTCTGCACCTAGCGCTAAAGTTATTTATTACTATAACTTTCTCAGTTGGTTTAACAACACAAATACCACAAATATTACACAAAGTTTTGATTTAAACTTGAATCCATCAACAGTATATAGTCAATGTTCTAATCAGCAGCTGTGTGTTCACGATTATGTGATTAGTTTGAACTATTTTACCAGCAAAGCACTACAAACGGCTGTTGAGACTTATAAAAGTGCAATAGTTATATTAGGTAAATAAATTTGTTTTTTATGTACTGAATCATATCGCATGTTCTTTATATACACTATAGCACAAGATCCGCCGAAAATAATTGTTCCATCTCTAATTCAAACTTATATACCTTCGAAAAGCTTAAATTCATCTTATGCATTTAACATTACTATCACGAGACCTGAATTGATAAACAATGTCACCTATCTTCTTCTACCTGTCAATCAAACATTCAATGCATTAATCAGTGCGAATAATATAAGCACATATACTATTGTGATATCAGCAGTTAATTTTACGGAGGAAATGAATGTAACGTAAGTTATTTTGAGAACTCTTTTTCGTATCAGTTCATTATCTTAAATTGACACTTTTAGCGTTGACGTATATTATAATGGTACTCAGACCGTTGTTCAAACATTGGACATAAATATGTGTCTTTGTAATGATTTTATCACATCATGCGATTGGGATCATACTGTCACTCTTGGACCACATTATCAAATAGCAAATTGTAGTTGTAGCGCAAATTATACAGGTAAATATAAGTTTGAATGGAAAAAATTTCGTATAAAAAGCAATTAAATAATTCTATTATAGGCAGATATTGTGATGTACTATTTAACCCTTGTAATGTATCAGGAGTATGCAAACAGAATTTTCAAAATGATACAAGTTGTGGTATATCACAAAATGCATCACAACCATACGTTTGTTATGGATATTGTCTTGATGGTTTTGAATCACTCGACAATTATACTTGCAGTGGTAAGTTAAAATGTAACACATAAAATTAATAGCAATAAAAATGATGTATGTCTATTGTTTCACAGATATAGACGAGTGTCTTACGACAAATGTATGCACAAATGGAGATTGTATTAATTTGTATGGTTCTTATACCTGTCAGTGTTTTGCAGGCTATCATTTAGTAAATCGTTCATGTGAAAGTATGTTGGATAAATGATAATAAAGTCGATAATAATTACATTCACTTTCGCTGCTTTGATGATGCATAGGTATACATCAATGTACAGAACCGAACGCGGATGGTACGTGGCCCATCCGTTGTCCATATAATGGTACAATATGTATTGAAACAACATCAGGGAACTACTCATGCGATTGTTATTCACCTTATTTTAATAATATTAGTGGAGTGTGCTTACGTAAGTTTTCAAAACATTTTCTAATTCAATTGTAACCGAACGAAATTTTGTACAATTTAGCACAAGATCCATCATTATGCAGCAACGGTACCTTTTGTCAGTTTGGAAACGAGACATATTGTTTGGGTGGTAAAGTATTCAATAATGTTACACGTACATGCGAACTTAATAGTGAGTACCATAACTATTAATTATTATTAATACTAAGCCATTTTCTCGTAAAGATTGGTGCAGCATTAGCTGTCCGGGTTTTTGTGAAATCAATCCATTAGATGGAAATCAATCTTACTTTTGTAATTGTGGACGAATACCTGGATATGATATCTCAGACGATGGAAGAAGTTGTATACGTATGAAATAAGTCACAGTTTTTATGGACAGTTGGTTTCAAAAACCAGTCTTTTTATAGAATGTCCTAGCACAACTTACGGTTATAAATGCAATATGACGTGTGAATGTTTATCTAATGGTGTTTGTAATATTAGCGCAACAAATGTAAATAATAGTTGTATATGTAACAGTAATTATACTGGTTCTCAATGTCAAACACTAAAATACTTTTGTGGTAAGCGAGTAAATTACTAATAATATTAAAACAACCTCGATTTTCAAAAATTTAGAAAACAAAATGTTTGCTTTTTCGTACGCATGGATAGTCCTGCGTGTCTTCTTTAAAATAAGAATTTTCCGACTACTTTAATTTCTGTCAATTTGGTATACCAGCCAGAACATTTCAGAATTCGAAAAATGAATGGAAACATAGGTTCCCTTCTTAAAATCTGAGTTGGCGACATTTTACTTGGTCCAGAGTGCAGAGCATGTCAAATTATCTAAAGAAAAACTTTTTAACCTAACAAATAGGTTCTCTGTAAAGTACGAAAGCTTTACTAACAGTCCTATGACAAGGTCCTGTATTTTGATTCGAATAAACCTCATACTTCAATCAAAACATCTTTTCCACTTAGTTTCAAAATTTTTTCCTTTAGATAATCGACATGCTCTACAATCCGGACCAAGTAAAATCTCCTCAACTCAGATTTTAAGAAGAGACACCAGAGACCGGATGTTCAGAGATCCATGATTGAAATACCTAGTGCTACATCTTATATTTTTCTCATTTTGGGAATGATGGTACAATTGAACGAAAGAAAATATGATTCGACTGGGACTCGAATCCAGGACCATGACATTCTGTGTCAACGTTCTAACAACCTGAGCTATCGAGCCACAGTCTTATCATATCGTCTTTCGTCTTACGCAACACTTAGCAGCTGAAAATGAACATCGGATTCAAAATCAGTATGAAAAGTTAACTGTAGTCAACTAGGTTTCTCCAAAGTCTAGTCACACCCTCGAGTAGGCGAAATAATCCATTTTTGACTATCTTCACTGAAAATAAAAAACTTCTTATTCGAACAGGTATGTTTTATCCTGAAGTTCTAGAGATCGACAATGTTTTTCTAGAGGACTCTTGAAACCGTCAATTACTGCCGTCAGTTGACAATTATTCCAAAAGAAGCCACGTATGTTGCTTTTTCGAACAAACAGTAATAGAACAGTAGAGAAAAAATTTATCACTTGCTGTAATAATACGCATTATCCATATATAAAATTTGTACGAAAGCGTTAGAAATAGACGAAAATTAATCTAAATTGTCATCTGCATTGAGTCTTCCCTCATGATTTTAGACAGTAGCTCAACGAATATTTGTAATGATGTGACTGAAGAATGCATTGCCTATTCACCTGATCCTTCATATGCTTATACATGCGTATGCCGTGCAGGATATCAAGTAAATGCAAGTGATGGCTATTGTTACGGTAATATCTTCGTTTGCTTCCCACAAAATTGTCATTATTAAATCCAAATGAAACAAAATTTTTGTTAAGATATCAACGAATGCATCTTGGAACAGGCAAACTGTCCGATCACTATATCTCATTGTGTCAACACAAATGGCAGTTATTTGTGTGTTTGCAATGATGGTTATGAGCTAGCGGTACTAACTCGTTTTGAAGACGATACCATAGATGGCGAATTTATTCATTTTACCTTGTTTAATTCATAGATCGCAAATCAAACGAATTCAACTTGTAAAGACATTAACGAATGTCTTGATCCTTTAGTCTGTAAGGACTATAATTTCACAAGTTGTGAAAATACTCCAGGAACACATGAATGTCGATGCAACACCAATTATGCACCATACGGTAGGTAACACTATATGCGGTTTGTATGTGTAATGCCGTATGTGCGCAATGTTTTTTCACATTGATTGTGCTACACCGTGGTGAGAAAAGTTCATAAAGAAGTCGGCGACACGTCATTTTTAAAACTCAAACATTTTCTTTAAATTGATTATTTAGCAGACCTTAATATTTAACATATTTCCAGATGTAAAATCATTGAAATATAAGGTCGGGCCGTGCGAATAGAGCGCTTCGTTTGAATCTTGTATCCAGGCACAAGATAGTCAAAATTTGCTTGGTCATATAGGCTAATCGGCGAGCAAAAAGTTGTTTGGGATATTGTTTTTTTTACAATTAAAATCATGTTCAGACTATAAAAGTTAACGAGTATGACTGTTTCTTTTTTTCTACTCATACAATGGTGGTAGCCTTATAATTATCGCAGTTCTTGACTTTTGCTACTTTCCCTTCAGCCGTGTGTTTTATTTTAACTTTTTTTTCTGGGTTTCATGTGTTTGATGAAATAAATTTCAGTTCAGTTCAGTTCAGACTGGTAGGTAAAACGTCAAGTAACTACGAAAACATAACTTTAGTGGAAATTAAGTAAAGTTATTGAGATTAGTAGTCTGAACATGGCCTAAGAACGCTTTCTTTACAGTGATTCATCCGTTCATTTTTTTCGTTTATTTTGAATTGAAGGGGATTACCAGAGAAGATATGCTGATGTGTTCAATACGAATCTAACATGTATACCAATTGATTATAGTAGACTTTGTCAAGGTCAATGTGATCTGCCTTCAAATTGTACATCAAATGGGATATGCGAATGTCCTGATGCATTAAATATGTATACTTATACCGAACCACAGTCGTATAAGACAACATGCTCATGTATAGCGAGTCCAATAAAGGTTTACAACGACTTGGAAAAAAAATGTATTCCTGTTGCAGGTATGAGCAGCGTAAAATATGAACCTCTTTTATCGTACTAAATGTATCATCACTAAGCAGGGAAGTAGAAACTTTTACACCCTCTTTTATATTAATTTCGCATTTACGTTCTCGATTTTTTTCAAAGTGCTAGCATTGAAGTGAATTATAAAAAAATGTGCTAATTATAGTTTACTGCGACTAACTTCCCTAAGGTACTCACAAGGGAATCTTCAGGTGCCCAACTCCGATTTCAATGATTTATAAGTCGATGGATACAGGACAGTTTGCTAGTAAAAATCCTAAAAGGATTTGGGCTGTTATTACTTCTCTCAAAAGTTATAGATCTTTTTATGTTTTTTCACAGGAAATACAGAAAAACTAATAATTTTATAACTTCCTCCAATGACGGAGTTATAAGCTCAAATTATTTTTTTATAGGTTTTCTATATGTCTCTAATGTCGGCAAAACGTTTCAGCTTTTCAGGTCCTTTTGTATCCGAGTTATGGAACTTTACGTTTTCCAAAGCTAACAATGAAAGGGTTATAAAGCCGTTAACTTTTTACAAAAACTATTGAAACTTCCAGAATCGAGAAGGTTTCGGCTGGTGCACATGTTGAAATAATCAGAATTGTAGGGTTTTGGTGTTTTGTAGCTCCCGTTTTTAAGAAGGTCTGTGTAGACTCTATAATCGATGATCAGCTTGAAGCCGATTTTTTTGTTTTTCTAATTGATATAAGACTTCAAAACCACTTCAGTTCCGAAAGTTTCAAGAGCTTTGATGAAGAATTAACGCTTTTATAGCCCCTTCGCAGTTAGCATATCTAAGGGAAAACCGTTGGAAAACTTAAAAGTTTCATAACTCGGATACAAAACGACCTGAAATGCTGAAACGTTTTGCTAATGTTATAGACATATAGAAGACCCGTAAAAACATATTTGTGCTCATAACTCCGCCATTGGAGAAAATTATAAAATTATTAATTTTTCTGTGTTTTCAGCAATAACAGTCCAAATCCTTTTAGGGTTTTCACTAGCAAACCATCGATTGGCTTGTAAATCATTGAAAGAAATGAAGAAAACGGAACTGAGCACTCCTATTTTCGTTAGAAATGAGCAAAACCTGAAAGGACATGTGGTTAAGTTAGAATATCTTCCAATATTTTCGATTTTTTCCTATCCGAAACGTGTCAGGAGATTACTAAAAACATCTCCTAGAAACATCGACTTACGAGAGAACTGCCCCAACTGATTCCTCGCTTTCCACTCCATCGCTTGGCCATAAGTAAACTTTGATGCGACTAAGTAAGCTCAATATTCTTGATATGCTAGTGGATACGTAGAGACTCATTTTGAAGGAGCTAGCTGTATGAAAAATTCCACCGCCTAAGTCATTAGGATGACAAAAAAAACAAATTTTCAATAATTGAAAAGATCGTCTGTTTGTAACACTGTCGATCATATCTCGAAAATGAAGGACCATCAGCACAAACGGTTTTAGGTATTCTTAGTCTCATCAAGATCTACTTACGGTCAAAAGATGACGTCAAAAACGAGGAATCAGTTGTGGCAGTTGTCTCGTTAGTTTCTCGAAATTTTAATACTGTTGACTCCAGGACTTTCGAAAAATTTTTTAATTCCGATTTTTCTGAAATCACGTGGTGTAGGTGCAGAATACCTTAATCACCCATGTCCTTTGATGTCCCGTAACTGTTAGAGATAGAACAGTTGTCCCTATCGTATGAAGACAAATAGAATTCACTGCAATTGTTAAAATAAATATTTTTGTCAGCTTAATAGTTATAGTCACTTTTATTAACTTCAGGTGAAACTGCGTTTAAAATCTACTTGTTGAACAGTACTAATGGTCAGCCGTCTTTCTCTCAAATGAAGGATTTCATCGAACAATTTGTAAGTAAAATATTTATCAAGATTTGTGTTACTACGTCTATACTAACAACTATTCATATGATGAAAACCAATTGAATGCGAAACAAGGTTTAAAAACGAAACTAGAATTGCGTTTTAAAAAGGATAATCGGATAGACGAACTTGTGAGAAGAAAAGAAATTCTTAGACCGGGAATAATCTTGCATTACTAACGATGAATACTAAAATTAGTTAATTAATCGTTTAGTATCCACACTAGGGTACAGATGAAAATGTTGCTTATATTGATCGACTACTACAGTTCGTCTACTACTACTACTTTTAGTAGTGAATTAGGATCAATTATCGTTTAATCTTGAGTGTGTTATTTTCTAACGGCTGACTTAGAGACACGAAAATTTCAGAGAATCCAAGAGAAACGCGAGATGTTGAATTTTTAGTAAAATTTCGGCGTCGACGGATAGACTCAGTCCATATAAAACCTACCACCATTTCCATGGACCTTTGACGTCAATGACGAGAACTATCTCATATTATAGACCTCGGCAAGCTGAACCGAATGATGAAAACCGCAAGTCTCTAACCTTGTTAGAAAAAAGGTTATATCCATTTTATCCTCGTATCGGAAGAATGCATTTTCGGGCGCTTTCGCCGAACTTGTCGAACGTCTGCGGACCACATTACCTAACGCAGGACCTTGAACTTGGTATCAAATGGAAGAGCGCGTCGAGTTCTATATATTTCAATGAAGAAAAGTTATGCTACTCCTTGGGG